GCCTCAGGTGATTACTGACATCATAAATAATAGTGTCAATTGTTAAATCAACAACAGGAGTCACTGTGCACTTACTCCCCATGTAGGATCTCTGTCCTTAATGTGTTGTACTATGCGAATTAACGGCATAACTAGTACTCAAACGGTACTTTATACTTTGTGTTTCTGTGTGGGTGCAAACTGTTGAAATCTTTACTTAGTATATACTAAAAAAAAATCAGCTGATACAAAATAAATGATTTGTGGTTTCTTATACATGGTATAGCTGCTCTCCCAATAATGTTGTGCTGTTTCTTGGATGCTGCTGATGGGTATCTATCGGCTTCAAGAAAGAGATTTCAAATCAGATGTGCACTTAAGGTTGCTCCAAAGTGGTGAGAAACAAAACACAAATTGAGCCCAGAATTACTTTTGAACATTTTGATTGTAATGTAAACCCAGTGAATGCCTTGGTCAGGTGCAATCCAGGAACAAGAACTAGAAGAAATTAAAATGAAAGCCAGTCTGACAGATATTTAAAGAACAATGTATCATTGTTCTGATGTAAAGCAAGAAAATTGTATGAATAATTCATTCTCTCTAACACCAACAAAAAATGTTTTTACACTTTAAAATAGGTGATAAAAGAGGAACTATTTTGCCAAAAGTATGTAAGTGGAGTGTAAATTTCTCTTCCTGCCACAAAAGAAGCGACTCTGTATCACAGCTGAATAAGGCAATAAGATGTACCACTAGGAAATATTCCAGAAGACCTATCTATTTGCACTAAGGAACCCAAGGAAAATCTTGGCTCTGCAACCAACTATTTCCTTCTAATATGTATGTTGTATTTCTGATGACTACCAGGGTCTCAGACATACACTTTTCTACCTACCCAGAGAGGTAAGTCTACAATGGGGGAAAACATTTCTCTTTCAGTAAGCTCATCAGGGATTACATCTTAAGGGTAGCACTTCAGCTTCTAGAAGGAAGTTATTTTACAATGAAATCTAAGACACTCAATTACAAATAGATTAGGAACTAGTATTTACTTTGTTCTCTGTTCCCAATCTCAAACATTCCTTTATTCTAGAATTTCAAAACCTAAGAGGGATTTTTCCATTACTTCTTTTTTGGGAAGTAAGTTTGAGATGCTCTATAGGGAACGTTGGTTAAAGAGTTACTGCTAGGGTTGGTACTGGGGCACAGTAGGTTAATCCTCTGCCTGTGGTGCCAGCATCCCATATGGGTGCCTGGACTGTTCTAATCCAGGCTGCTCCTCTTCCAATCCAGCTCTCTACTATGGCCTGGAAAAGCAGTGGAAGAAGGCCTGAGTGCTTGGGCCCCTGCACCTGCGTGGGAGACCTAGAAGAAGCTCCTGGCTCCTGGCTTCAGATTGGCTCAGATTCGTCCATCGTGGCCATTTGGGGAGTGAACCAGCAGATGGAAGACCATTCTCTCTGTCTCTCCCTCTCACTGTCTGCAACTCTATCTCTCAAATAAATTAATGAAATCTTTTTTTTTTTTAAAGAGTTATTACCAGAGTTACTATTACTGGACTTTCCTGAACTTGATGGTTGTTCACCCAGTAAGATGTGAGATAAAACATTCTGCTAAAAAAGAAAAGTTTCCAGTCTGTCTTTAGAATTCCATATGGTCTACCTGAGAAGAGAAAAATCATATTAATATCAGTTCCTAGGCTCACAGGAAATGTTCACACACACTTCCATGGAGTATTCACAGTGATCTCAGAAGTAAGTCACCAGGTACAGTTACTCTAACACAACCAAAGAGAAAACCACAACAACAAATGGCAGAATCATTATCACATCCACTCTAACATATACACATACACACATATACACATTACCTGCAGTCAAATGGACACTTAGTACATCTCATTTGCCAAGACTTCAAACTAAGGGTCTGTTAGCACATTACTCTTCATTTCCTTTTCTAAAGTTTCTCTGAATCTTACTCATCTTATACTTACCCACAATTGGTTTCAGCTAGTGTTTTTCCTTTTCTTATGAAGCAATGACAACAACAACAAAAATCAATCTTTATGCTATGTTTGATTCTGGTTATTCTTTACCATTATTATTGTATTTATGATAGTCAATGATTATTAGTGGGAATCATTTAACTACTATTTATTGTCCAGTTATATTGATATGATAAGAATTGCTTATGCCTACACTTGTAATAGATCCAAAAGTCATTTTGGGTATATTAAAACACAAAAGGGAAAAAAGTTTTGCTTTCCTTTGAATTAATATATCCTCATCTGGACTAATAAATGACCGCATCACTTAGCTTAATGAACAAGTCCTTTGAAATGGTACAACTAACAACGTATCCTAAGCAGGGTGCTTTTAACTGAGTTATTTTTCAATGAATATTTTCAAAATTAAATATGAGAAATCACTTTTATTTTCCTCTTCATATCTGCTGACTTAAGATATGACTCAGGAACATTTTTCAGCTACATATTGTTCACATAATTATTAATTAATGCTCCCAGACTTCAGTGAAGTTCATATTCCTCATATGTCATAGGACTGCCATTAATCTCTAATTGCTTTCAGAACTTCACCCTCTTTTTCTTTCTGGAGCTGCGATAAACTTGCCCTTAGCCACCAAGTATTCACTTGATCAGTCTCCCAGAACTACTACTGGGATTCTTTAAGAGCACCATTCTATTTTATTTATTTTTTAAATTAATTTATTTTTTTTGACAGGCAGAGTGGACAGTGAGAGAGAGAGATAGAGAAAGGTCTTCCTTTGCCGTTGGTTCACCCTCCAATGGCTGATTCGATGGCAGGAGCCAGGTGCTTCTCCCCGTCTCCCATGGGGTGCAGGGCCCAAGCACTTGGGCCATCCTCCACTGCACTCCCTGGCCACAGCAGAGAGCTGGCCTGGAAGAGGGGCAACCGGGACAGAATCCGGCGCCCCAACCGGGACTAGAACCCGGTGTGCTGGTGCCACAGGCGGAGGATTAGCCTTTGGGCTGCGGCGCCGGCAAGAGCACCATTCTAAATGAAGGAAGTACATACAGCATGCAGGGTGATTAAATTCTCATTACCTAAGAGTGGAAGCCAGCATTTCCTGCATTAAATCAGTCCATGAGGGAAAAAAAACAAAATCACTACGCTTTTCAACATAAAAACACAGAAAATCACACCATTTAAAATATAAAAGCATTCTGAAGTACATAGTTTTGTGGTAAATCTGAAGTGTAGGGCCAGTGCCAGGGTAGGGTAGTGTAGGGTAGTGCCAGGTACATGATCCTGAATCTTAACATAGATTTGAGGAGGCAGTACAGAAGAGAGTGAAGTACTGTGGATTGAGAGGCAGTTTCCTCGATCCAGGAGACTCTAACTTTCTAGGATATTTAACCCCATGAGCAGGTCATTTAACTCTGTGGCACAATAGATTGAAGGTTTTCAAAGTGGACTTATAAGAGTTCAAAGAAACTTATAAGAAGTTCAAAGAGTGACTATGAGAAGGAGCTATGGGTGTCCTCATGTGGACTCAAAAACTTCCAACTAATTTCATCCACAGAAAGACTTGCTTCATATATCGATTTATCTTTCAAGATTTTATTACAGGTTCCTAAGACTTTAAATGTATGTCTGTAAAAAAATTAAACCTAATGATCTCTAGGGTCTCTTCCAATTCCAATAATTTACTCCATTTCCTCTAGAAGCGAAAAAGAGGTGAATGACTTCATCCTCACCATCACAAGGCATCTCACATGGCACTCTCTAATGAATTACTGCCTATAAGATTGGCAATGTATTGTAAATATAGTCGAAGAAGGTCAGTGGCCCCCAAGTTGTTTGTTATTTCACTTTTCAACAGAAAGGAAGAAAGTGTGTGTAATTAGGAAAGATATGGCAGGAAAGAGACTGAAAGAGTACAAGGAAAGGAAACTATTAGCCCTTCTTCATAATTCAGAGAGAGAAATTGCTGGGTGAATGGACATAGAGATAGAAATGGAGAAAGGAGTTATATTCTGTATTGATTAGAGTATGAACTACTAATTAACGTTTTCTAATGGATGAGGTCACTGTTACTTAAAATGTACAAACATGCATCTCACTTACTTGATGTTTATTCTCTTTTTTATTTTAATTTTTCTTTTTTTTTTTTTGACAAACAGAGTGGACAGTGAGAGAGAGACAGAGAGAAAGGCCTTCCTTTACCACTGGTTCACCCTCCAATGGCTGCTGCGGCCGGCGCACTGTGCTGATCCGAAGCCTTGAGCCAGGTGCTTCTCCTGGTCTCCCATGGGGTGCAGGGCCCAAGTACTTGGGCCATCCTTCACTGCACTCCCGGGCCACAGCAGAGAGCTGGTCTGGAAGAGGGGCAACCAGGACAGAATCCGGCACCCTGACCGGGACTAGAACCCGGTGTGCCGGTGCCACAGGCGGAGGATTAGCCTATTGAGCCACAGCGCCGGCCTGATGTTTATTCTCAAATTTGAAGAGAGCAGCAGCCACTGCTTAACTCTTGGACTGAAGCTTTCATGGAATGCAAGATATGGCTCAGCTGTTAAAGCAGCACTTTTACATGGAATTCACTGCCATTGCTTGTGCAGAGCTGTCTTGTGAGCTCCACCAAGAACTGTTATTTTATCTGGGCAAGACAAGACACTCCTGGGTTCTTTGACTGATAAATATCCCGATTTCTCCCTCCCTCCCAAAATAAGCAGATGAAAAAATATATACTTAAAATACAAGAATGTTCAGATTTAGTTGAAGCTATCAGCATAACGTCTGGTTACTGATGCTATCAGTATAACATGCAGCCTTCCCTATAGAGTTGGACATATTCATATAGAACTTGCATAGGTCCTGAACTTTCATATTCCCCTCTCCTTCTATGTTAAGCAATATTCAGAGCCCTAGGAATCTGAGACAAAAACTGACGGACTCATGTTCACTTGGGATGTGTCATAATGATAAGTTCTCAGTAATAAGATTCTAGAATTGTTTTAGAGTAAATATCATCTAGAAATTTGCTTGTCTTTTCAGGAGATAATCCACAAGGCTATCCTCTGTGGAGAGGGTCAACCATTTTCCTGGCTTGTCAGAGTTCTTTTTTCCCACGAGTGCATATTAGGACATCAAAACAAGACATGGTCCATGTATAAGTTAGGGATCTGGCAAGAAACAATCCATTTCTGATGGTTCAAAGACAGAAATGAAGGGACTCCTTAGGACATGTGAGTAGTTCCCAGGCAGCAAGGAAGATATACCAAGGTTCCAAGAGTACATAAATAACAAGAAGTAGGCCCCACCAAAGACTAAAGGCACCAAAAGGAAAGAGTTTTACAGGTGATTTATGAGTCCTGGCTCCACGAAGGAAGGAGGGGACTCTGGATGAGAGCTGCTATCCTGGGAAACAGAAGAGGGATCCAAATCAGGGAAGCAGACAGAAGAAAGACCCCAGATCTTTTTTTCTTCTCTCTCATTTCCTGCCAAAGCCGCACAATAAGTCAAATGCTTAGGAACTGGGTAATTCAGTTCAAATACATTGGCTACTTGGAGACACAGATTAGGGCAGAAAGTGGACCGAGTGTATATACTTGTGTGATAAGGAAACTTGAAATATTCAGCACAGATCCTTAGCCCAAGAAAATATATAAGTGCACATATGAAATTTTTGAGTCCCCTCAAGTCTATTTATGAATACCAGTTTAAGAAATTCTGAATATATGAATAATTTTCAAATCTGTGTCTAGCATATATGATTCTCCCAAAATTTTATATATATAATTATCCACTAGATATCATCTCTCAGGTGTCCGATAGGCATCTCTGGTTCAAGCTGCTCAAAACTGAAATAGCTATTTTCTTCTTCCATGTAGACTTGTGCCTTCTCATAGATTCCCTTTACTATGAACCTGGATGGATAAATTTATATATTTAAATCCTTTTCACCTTCACTTTCTAAATTCTGTTAGCGACGAAATCCCATTAATTCCATCTTCTAAGTGTTTTCAGCAACTTGTCCTTTTACTTTTTGTCATATTGATACCTCCCTGATACAGATTTCCATCAACTCTATCCCGGACCAATGTCCCTTTTTATGCCTTCCTTACCTCTTGTCTCTTCCCTTTCAGTCAGTTGCTTTTCTGAAAACAAATCCCACCATGTTACTCCCTTAACTAACACTCTTAAGCCTCTCCTTTTGTAAGTCCAAATCTGTCTAGTTTCAACTACATGCAAAGATCCTAATTTCCACTGCTTCATTGTGACCCTGAAGTTCTCACAACACCAAATGAGTGGCAGGATTCTTGTTCATGTTTTGAATGTCTTTCTTTTAGTTTCACCTCTACTGCCTGATGAATTTTTCTTAAATTCTTATTTGGAAGTAATTTTGAAATTACCCCCAAATTGCATGAATAACACAGATATCCTGTACATTATTTTCCCTGTACTTTTATTTACTCCTTAACACCCATTTCCAGGATCACTCTCCCTGGGTCCTAACTCCATCCTGTAAAGATCATTTCTATTGTTCTCTGTGTTCTGTTATTTTTCTGTTCTCTATTGTGATTATACTGTGTACACTGTTCCATGTTTTGTTTCCCTGTCATTTAATAGGCCAAGTTCCATCTTGAAATGGGCAAAATATTTATCAGGGACTGCTGGAAAGCTTATCTTTGTAGCTGCCCAAGAAATAAGTGCCTAGTGAACAAGTGAAGTGAGTCAATTCTGAATACTATAATCAAGCAAGAAGAAGAAACATCAGGGTATGTAGGTATCATGTTTGCTTTTGATTTGGTGTCATTTTTGTTTTTGTTTTTGTTTTCTATCTTAAAAATTGAGTTCATGCCACTAATTTGTCTATTCCAAAGGAGCAGAGGAAAAAATAAACTGTCACTCTGTGAAGAAACACTATGACCCCACTCCTTGGTAAGTCTTCAAAGCTTGTATAGACACTTGAAAGGAGATAAAGTTCAAGAGGAGGGAATCCCTAATGTGCTACATGACAGACTAAGTGGAGGGTTGTGCTAAAAGTGCAACATAGGTTCTGGCAAGCATGGAAGCAACTGTCAATCTTCCTTGGGGAAGGTTGTGGATACCTTGTAGAGCTAATAAAGGTCCCAGGCAAGGAGGTGAGCAGCCTCATCAAGAGGAGGTAATGTGAACTTGCTGAGGCCCTGTAAAGGGAGGGAACAGACCTAGAATCTATCAACAGACTCCAGAGTCAGGGATTCACATAGATCTACCTACTAAGGAAGTGGAAAAGTTTAGGGGGAACATGGTGGTGACTAAAGCTGCAGCAATTTATCAGTGATTAAATGCCCAAATATATGCTGATCTCTCTTTATTGTTAACAGTATTCCCTTCCAATACATGCTAGTCCCATTGCTTGCAATCTGAAATGTAAGGAGCTTTAGGTTTGTGTGTGTGTGGACTACAAATGGGCACCTCAGACCCAAGTGCAACTAGTATATTTTTCAAACAAGGTGATATACAGCTCTATCAAGTGAAAACTGCATTTTAGATGGGGCTGGGGTCTTAAAAAACAGTCAGAGAAAGAGTACTCCAGAGAGGAACTCAAGAAATATACAACATGTGTTAGGATCCAGCACTCTTGGACTTGCTCTAGCATATCAATGAGCTGAAACAGCTAACTCAAAATAAGAAACTATGGAATAAAAAATAAGTTTAGGTAAGCTCTACTATGGATGAGGAGTGGTAAATTTATTGAAATAAATGTATAAAATTCTGAGTGTTCAACAAAAATGGAGCACAGGCACCCACATGGATATGATGCTGGCAACTACATGAGGAATTTATCAGTCTTTTTACCTCAGATATATATTGTGACTCAAAGTTTAATAATATACAGCATTGGCAATGTTTCAGTAGATTGAAACCAGGTAGGAAGCCAGCCCTTAGCAATTGTTTATTGGGAATTTACTCATGAAAAGTTTTCAGAGATATGTAAGTCAATTTCCTATTCCCAAGAATGTCATTTTCAGTACCTGGGTAGAGACCTTAAAAGTACCCAATTCTATAAATCAAAGAAGAAAATAAGCCTTCCAACAGAGCCACAGACAAATCATATTAAGGCAAGGTGGGAAAAATCAGAAAAGATCTCAAGACAAAAGTAGTATGTATCTGAGATGGAATTTGAAAGTGTAAAATTTCAATAGACTGAGTTCTGACAAGAGATGTCTCATAAACAATGAAGAAGAACTGCAAGAAGAGAGTAACCAACATCCTCAATACTGTAAAGAGATCCAAGAGAATAAAAACAGAGAAAAGAAATGAAATTCTTCACAAAAAATCTCTGACCACTTTCATAAAAGCAGTTTCAGTGGAGTTGAAGAAGCAAAACTGAATTATGCAAAGTTAAGATTGTTGATACAATAACTAAGTTGATATCCAAGTTTGTAGTTGTTAGGTGGTAAAGAGAAGGAGGGGAGTAAAAAACATATCGAGAGAAGACAAAGACAATTAGAGAGCACATGTCCATTTTGGAAAAGGGACAGACAAAAATTAAGGATAATATGCAGGATGGGTGACCCAAACACTTCACCAAGATAATTAATAGACCTGGAAGAAGATGGTGCATATTGGAGAATGAGGCCTTAAATTGAATGGGTCAGAGTGACAAAGGAACTTCACACTGTATTTTCTTCTATTTAACCCATGATTTAGATGGCTATGTTCACTAACAAGAAGCAACATATATGAAGAATCTCCACTGACAATTCTATTAAACACCAGCAAATAATAATATGAATAGATATGTTAATTCTTTGTTGTGCACCTGGCCCCAGTGTCAGCACTTTACACTTAAAATAAAACTGTGAATCAATTCTGTAAACTTGTAGTATCAGGTATACCCACAGTGAATTTAGAGCTAATGTTCTAAAAGCATAAGTACTTCCAAGATTGCAAATACCAAACAGATGTTGAAAATAAAGGAACTGCTATTTTCTCAGGATATTTGTCTGCCTCCACTCCACCCTACCTAACTCTTGGCAATATGAGGTCCGGTGCTTATCCAATATCCTTAATCTACAGTTCTTATTTTCACCTTAGGACTTCTGTACAATAACTGAACTCTCTATATCCTTCACAATTTTAGTACTTTTATGGCACATTTCAAGCCACATCACAAAAATCTTTCTCATATCCACAACACTTCCCTTAATCAAATTTTCCTCTATGTCAGCTCTTACTCAATTTACCTTAAGAATATCAATCTATTGCTTTTCTTCCCCATTACTCATTCTACATTTTAAGGCAACAGATAATTTTATCCTAATTAATGATCATTAAGAGTACTTATCACTAATGACATATTTATAAAAAGAAGTGCAAACTCATACAATATGTTAATTATACAGTACAATAAATACTACTCTGATTAAATACATCCAGGTTTTCTCTCTAGAGTCCGTATGAACCTATGTGTCTACATGCTTATCTTCTAACTTTACCATTTTTGTTTTATGCTTCAAAAGTGAAACGAGGTAATTCTCAAGTTTTTTTCAATGACTAGCAATCAGGGAAATGCAAATCAAAACCACAATAAGATATCAGCCCACCCCAGTCAGAATAACTAAAATCCCAAACAGGATAATAAATGCTGGTGAGGATGTGGAAAAAGGGGAACACTTATACACTGTTGATGGGAATGTGAATTAGTGTAGCCACTGTGGAAAACAGTGTGAAGATTTCTTAAAAAACTAGAGATAGACTTGCCATATGATCCAGCAATCCCACTACTAGGTATATATCTGAAAGACTTGAACACAATGTATCAAAGAGATATCTGCACTACAGTGTTTATGGCCTCACTGTTCACAACAGTCAGAATTTGGAACAAACCAGGATGTGCATCATCATTTGAATAAAAGAAAATCTGGTATATATATTCACAAGGGAATATTATTCAGCTTTAAAAATAAAATGCTACCATTTACAGCAAAATGGATACAGCTAGAGGACACCATGTTGACTGAAATGAGCTGGACTCAAAAAGACAATTACCACTTGTTCTCCTTTACATGTGGGAGCTAAAATTAAAAAGATAAAATTAAAAAGGATATTGCTTATCCAATATTCTTAACCTACAGTTCTTATTTTCACCTTAGGACTTCTGTACAATACCTGAACTCTCTATATCCTACACAATTTTAGTACTTTTATGGCACATTTCAAGCCACATCACAAAAATCTTTCTCATATCCACAACATTTCTTTTAATCAAATTTTCCTCTATGTCAGATCTTATTCATTTACCTGAAGAATATAAATCTGTTGCTCTTCTTCTTCCCCATTACTCATTCTACATTTTAAGGTAACAGAGAATTTTGCCTTAAAATGTACCAATATTGCTACAAATACAGTTTTATAAAACTTTGTTTTATAGCTTTGCCAAACCAATGATTAAGAATGCTATACTACTATAGTTTTTATTATCTGTATGATGACTTAAAAAATTTAGTGCATATGGGTTAAATTATAATTTTCTATTCAATTATTATTTATAGCTGTTGTCTATATTCCCACTAAAGTAACATCCTTTTGTTTTTACTTGTTAAACTTCTTTGATGAAGTATTAAGCCTTTTTATTGTAATGTAATTTTAAAATATGTTATCTCAAAAGCTAAAAAAAAGGCAGGGATAGGAAAGAGGCTGGGAGGAAAAGAGGAGGAAGGAAGGAGGGAGGAAGGGAATATCATAATGTTCTTAGAATTGTAGCAACAAATCACACTGAATCTATTAAAAACTAGTTAAAATTATAATAAAACATTTTAAAACAAAAAAGTTGTGAAATAATATTTCTGCATTTTCTTATTGTGAACTAATATTTCTTCTATACTCTGGAAAAACAGGATTTATGGGTTAACCTAAGATCCTAACCAAAATTTAGAACTTGATTGTTCATGAAAATGAATTCAACATTCTAAAAGTAATTTTTAAATACACCTTTGTAACACAATCTCTTTGTATGTTGCAGACTGAATATGAAGACAAAGCATAATATGATATTGTTATGCAAATGGTGGAACAGAGCATCTAACTAAACATTAAGTATACCTTTTCCAAGATTATTATTTAATTTTGTACTAGATTAGTCATCATTAAATACTCTTAGTTTATCTTTAAAAATTCTCAGCAGCTTCCAATGCAGTTAAAGTATTTAACAAAAGTAACTCAAATATAAGATAAACATTAAGAGTATAAAACCTCTCTAAAGTCTAGTTTTGATATGCACAATATCATATCAAAAATGCTTCCCAAATTCTCCTGTTGTGCTAATGACTTCAAAGTTACAATCAGCCAGACAAGCAATCTATACAGTAATTAATGAATTAATAACCTGTCTTATTTCAAAAAGCCTATCAAGGCAGCTTAACAGCATATAATTAACCCAGATCAATGAATTAAATATGAACCAGGAAAAGAAGAAAAGTAAAATGGAAAGAATAGATAGATTCATGTGAAGATACTTGCACTGAAATATTGGAATTGTTAGTGGTCCCCTAGATATGGTTCTTAAAATTCTAGAAGTCAATCTAAAAGGAGAAAAGAATGATCAGTTAGAGAACATTGGGGAAACTCTGCAAGACATTGTCATAGGCAAAGACTTCTTGGAAAAGACTACAAGCACAGGCAATCAAAGCCAAAACTGATAAAAGGGATTATACCAAGCTGAGAAGCTTCTGCACTGCAAAAGAAACACTCAGCAAAGTAAAGAGGCAACTGACAAAATGGGAATAAATATTTACAAACTATACATGATAAAGGGTTAAAATCCAGAATCTATAAAGAGCTCAAGAAATTTAACAACAAAACAAACAATCCAGTTAGGAAATGGGTAAAGGACTTGAAAAGGCATTTTTCAAGAGAGGAAATTCAAATGGTCAATAGACACTTGAAAAAATGTTCAGGATCACTAGCCATCAGGGAAATGCAAATCAAAACCACAATCAGGTTTCACCTCACCCTAGTTAGAATGGCTCTTATACAGAAATCAACAAACAAATGCTGGTGAGGATGTGGGGGAAAAAGTACCCTAACCCACTGTTGGTGTGAATGTAAACTGCCTCAGTCATTGTGAAAGACAGTATGGAGATACCTCAGAAAGCTTAATATAGACCTACCATATGATCTAGCCATCTCATTTCTGGGAATTTATCCAAACCAAAAGAAATGAGAAGAGGAAAGAGTTATCTGTATTCCCATATTCATTGCAACTCAATTCAAAATAGGTAAGATATGGAATCAACTCAGATGTCCATCAACTGATGACTGGATAAAGAAATTATGGCATATATAACTATAGAGTACTAGACAGCTGTAAAAACAATAACAAAAAAACCAACAAATGAAATCCTGTCTCTTGCAACAAAATGGATGCAACTGCAAACCCTTATACTTAGTGAAATAAACCAGTTGCAAAAAGACAGATGTCATATATTTTCCCTGATCTGTGGTAACTAATAGAGTATCAAAAATGTAATGTATTGGGCATTCTGAGATTCAATAATTGTTTACAGCCCTTGTCTCTTCTGTTGAAGAACAATGTTTTTTACTTCATATTCTTTGTTGAACTGAGTGTATGGTTAACTTTACATTTATTTAAGTTAACATAATTTTTATTTAAGCAAACTGAAAATAAATCTTTGTAAAAATTACGAGTGGGGACTGGAAAGAGAGGAGGAAAAAGGGTTGGAGTTTGGGCGGGAGGAAGGATAGGGTGGAAAGTATCACTATGTCCTAAATCTGTATATATGAAATACATGAAACTTATATAATTAAATATTTTTTTAAAAAATCAGTGTTTAAAAAGTAAATAGTACTGAGATAATAGATAACTAAGGAGAACATTTTTTAAAAGAAATTTTTTTTCTGTTTATTGATTTTATCTATTTGAAAAGCAGAGACAAATAGAGAGACAGATCTTCTATTTGCTGGTTCTCTCTCCAAATGCCTGCAAAAGCTGGGGTTGGCCAGGCTGAAGACAGAAGCCAGAAACTCAATCCAAGCCTCTTATTTTTGGGGCCAGGGACCCAAATATTGCAGCCATACCTGCTGCCTCCAAGAGTAGGCATTAGTATTATCAGGAAGCCAGAATCAGGAGTAGAGCCAGGAGTTGAACTCATACACTGTGATGTACAAAACGCTCACTCTGAACAACGATTTCAGTATCAGAAATCCTAAAAAGATCCTCAGCATTTTCAAAGACAGCGTAATCTCAATCTTGGGATTCACAGGACTGAGACTCAAGTCTTCTTCCCACAATAAATTGCGGCACTCTGAAGCCCTGCTGGATAAAACTAGCTCCATGAGAGACTATTAAAATGCTATCTAGGAAATGGGTTGTTGAATAGACTTGTTTGGTCATGAACTGCTTTTCAGCATGCGTTTTAATATATGGAGCATCTTTCAGACAAAGTTCAAATATTCATATCCAGTCATTTTGAATGTACTGAGTGTCACCAAATTCACATGCCTGTATCCAGCTACTTACTGTGGCTGAGGAAATATAGGATTACACGTTTTAATAAGTAGTGGAGCTCAAGTAAGTATTCTGTGAAATTGCTGTCGGACAATGATTCATATTGCTTTTGCTTCTTGTTTCCATAATAAGCAAGTTTTGGAATTATCCTAAACAGATAATGAGATTATAAATACTTACCAAAGTAACATTTAGTGTAATATAAATCCAGAGGCACGAGTGATCTGCTGATTAAACACACACACACACACAGAAAAGGAGGCACTATAAAAGTTAAAACACCTATGCTTATGTTTCTCTTTTAATAAATCTGAAGCCAGTGAAGTTTATATATGGTCAATTAAAAAGAGCCATGTTGGATCTATTTTCTTTAATAAGATGTCTACCCAAGAAAATAACATTATTGTCCAAATTTATACTTTGTAATCTCTTGAAACTAAATGAAATTTACTGTTCTAAATTACAAGATACAATTCAGAGTATTATGGCTTTGAATTTCAAATTTATCTAACAATGCTTTTTTGCTTTGTTTTTCCATTTGCTACAGATGTGAGATATAATAAAGCAAAGTTCTAATGTACTGTCACTGAAAGAGTGATTTCATTGTGAAATTCTAACAGCATTACTCAGTTGCTACATTTTCCTGAAACTTTGTATTACCTCTTCATTTCCATTATCATAAGGGATAATAAATGAAGGAATACAGACTATAAAAGTATTTTCTTTCAGCTACTTGTTTGAAAATGTCATGTTTTCCAATACATTTTTCAAACAGTATAATAATAAAAAGACTTGGAATTTAAACATTGCAGATTTTTGTTGTTTTTCTTATTGTTATGAGTTTTTTATAAAAGTGGAAGCATATGGGCCCAAATCCCATCAGATCAAGATCAGGGAAACTAGTCAGTCACTAACCAGAAACATGATTGATAAGCTTCCAACTTATACTTGAAATTCATCAACTATAATTTTTACAAGCAATTAATGTGTATCAGAAAATTGTAAGCACCAGGGAAATAATTAATTACTAGGACAGATGAGGATTTTACTGTCATGAAGCTTAAAACTTAATGGGAAAGATCAACAATCTTTTAAAAATATATATACTGAGGCAAATGCAATGAAGACAATAAACAGATGGCATGAGAACAGATACGATGCTGCATTTGGAAAGTGGGCAAAGAGGCCCACTTCGAGGGGGGAAAATGCTTAAGCTTATACTTGCAGTAGAAACAATCAAGTATGCAAAGAGTAATCTAGAAAGAAGAAGCAAAAAGCAAGACGCAAAAGTAAGAAAATTTTAAGTATTTCAAGAATGGATGGAAGCCATAGTGACTGGAGTTTCACAAATAGTGGAGGGGCAGTGCACGACTCTGTTCACTGGGGACATCAAATCATGCAGGGCCACGAAGTTCCCTAACATTGTTGATATATTAAAGAGAAAAAGGAGAAACACATAAAGACTGCAGAAGTATGAAAAGGATAAAGGCTTTAAAAAACAATGATTAATAAAATGGAACCTTCCTTAATGGCAATATATAGGTAAGTCTTAAAAGATGAAATTTGGGAGCCAGTGCTCTGGAGTAGTGGGTAAAGCAGCCACCTGCAGTGCTGGCATCCCGTATGGGCGCCGGTTTGAAACCTGCTGCTCAATTCCAATCCAGCTCTCTGCTATGGCCTAGGAAAGCAGCAGAAGATGGCCCAAGTCCTTAGGCCCCTGCACCTACATGAGAGACCCAAAAGAAACTCCTGGCCTTGGATCAACCCAGCTCCAACCATTACGGCCATCTGGGAAGTGAACCAGCAGATGGAAGACCTCTCTCTCTCTCTGCCTCTGCCTCTCTGTAACTCTGCCTTTCAAATAAATAAATCTTTAAAAAAAAAAAAACAGATGAATTTTGAAAGATACAAAAATCTCAGTTAAATAAAATGAACTAAATTAGATATAACATATAATAGAATATGGACAATCTAGGGTTATGAGAGTCTTTTCTTATTGATGGATTATTTATTTCTTTTTAATTCCATATATGTTAGCCCACATGTCTCTAAGATTCTTAAAAGTATGTTTTCCTGGCCGGTGCAGCGGCTCACTTGGCTAATTCTCTGCCTGCGGCGCCGGCACCACGGGTTCTAGTCCCGGTTGGGGTGCTGGATTCTATCCTGGTTGCTCCTCTTCCAGTCCAGCTCTCTGCTGTGGCCCGGGAAGGCAGTGGAGGATGGCCCAAGTCCTTGGGCCCTGCACCTGCATGGGAGACCAGGAGGAAGCACCTGGCTCCTGGCTTTGGATCAGTGCAATACGCTGGCCGTAGCGGCCATTGTGGGGGTGAACCAATGGCAAAAAGGAAGACCTTCTCTCTGTCTCTCGCTCTCTCACTGTCCACTCTGCCTGTCAAAAAAAAAAAAAAAAGTTTTCTGCCAAAATAAAATATACGGAAGTATAGAAAATATGTCATAAACATTTCTGTTCTCACCATCAGTTGCTATTATTTTATTTTCAAATTTACTCCCTTTAGCCATAGTGTTCCTATAATATACCTTGTACTAAAATTTGCCATTCCCAAAGCAA